ACGATAACCCACGTTCATCAGTTAATAACCTCACTGCAAACAAGTGCGTTTGTTGCTCCGGCAATCATTCCGTTTTGAAATGTAGAGAGTTTCTGGATAAGACCGTCGAGCAGTGCGGCGAGTTCGTGCGACAAGGCAAGCTTTGCCTTAATTGTCTGAGATCCGGGCATTTCCTTAAGCAATGCCCGAGCAAGTCTCGATGTTCACACTGTAGTCGTTCACATCACTCGTTGCTACACTTCTCAAATAATGTAATTGCCGATGTTCCGGCAAATACTTCGAAAATAAAAGTGGAAGCGCAACCTTTCACGCCGACTACGTCCAACGCGCCAGTCGCCGCGAGCGGCAATCATGTCGCGAGCTTGCATAGCGACTCCGCGGAGGACGCGGTTCCTTCGAACGTCCTCCTAGCCACGGCGTGGGTCGACGTTCATACGACCGAGGGCCGAAGTTTTAAAGTTCGCGCCTTACTGGATCAAGGATCCACTTTTAGTTTTATTTCGCAATCGCTCTGTCAGACGTTGCGTACGAAACGACAACGCTCAAATTTGCGGGTTACGAGTTTCGGCGAAAAGTTTACGGGCGTGGCGAGATCGCGCGTCGTTCTGACATTGAGGCCGTGCTCTGGCGCGGAGCCGGGCTTCCCGCTACACGCCTACGTTTTTCAAAGTATTACTTCGTACGCCGCGTCGCGGATTCCGCCAGTCGGGTCGTGGCCTCACTTGAGGGGTATCTCGTTCGCCGATCCCGATCCTTCGAGTCTGCATCGGATACACCTGCTGATCGGTGCTGACTTGTACGGTTCCTTGTTGAGGAATGACCTCCGGCAGGGCCCTATCGGATCGCCTACCGCTCAGTTGACCGCGTTAGGCTGGATTCTCTCCGGCCCTGCGGGTCGCGGTCCGATTGAGCCCGCGAATATTGGCGTCTGTCATAGCTTATTTGCCCACGACCCGAGTTCGCTTCTCAGACAATTCTGGGAGGTCGAGGAGGTCTCAAGCCCCCCTCCACTTACAGACGCGGAAGAGCGTTGCGAACAACACTTCCTCGCCACTCATAGCCGTTCGTCGGAGGGACGGTACATTGTTCGACTGCCTTTCAGGCACGAACCACCAATCGCACTAGGCGATTCACTGTCGATCGCTACTGTATTTTATGAAAAAATGGAAAGGAAGCTGCGTCGGCACGACGAACTCTCCGCGCAGTATAACGACTTCTTAGCGGAATATCTCGCAATGGGACATATGAGCGCGATCGAACGTCCGAGCGACGCCGCTCTTACACCCGTGTACATTCCGCATCATTCGGTTTTGCGCGAGTCGAGTAGTACCACGAAGTTACGCGTCGTTTTTAATGCCTCGTGCAAAACCACGAACGGCACGTCGCTTAACGACCACCTGCTTGTAGGACCAAAGTTGCAGCAGGACCTCCCCGCTATTCTGTTGCGTTGGAGGCAGTGGCGTTTTGTTTATACCGCGGACATCGCCAAAATGTTTCGACAGATCCTCGTGAATACACTCGATGCAGACTTTCAACGAATTCTTTGGCGTCCATCTTGCGACGAGCCAATTAAGCACTTCCGGCTTTTAACAGTGACGTATGGACTCGCTCCGGCCCCGTATCTCGCGATGCGCGTTTTGAAACAATTGTCATTAGACGAAGGATCCGACTATCCTGAGGCCGTCCCGATACTGCGCGACTCCGTCTACGTCGACGACGCGCTTTTCGGTGGGGATGACGTCGCGTCGCTGATAAAAGTTCGCGAACAATTGACGGGCCTCCTTAAACGAGGAGGCTTTCAATTACGAAAATGGGCATCGAATTCGCCTGAGCTTCTTCGCGATGTCGTAACGCGTCAAGTCGACATGGAGGATCACCTCCTTCAACAGGACGAGACCCTTAAGGTCCTCGGAATTGCATGGCATCCCCACGACGACACGTTTCGCGTTCAGGTGGACACTTCGTTTCCGGTCACTCCGACGAAGCGCTCCGTCTTGTCAGTTATCGCTCGCTTATACGACCCCCTCGGCTGGGTAGCTCCCGTCGTCATTGTTGCAAAAATTCTGTTACAGGAATTATGGTTAGCCCAATCCGATTGGGACACCCTTCTCCCCGACGAATTGCGTCAGCAGTGGGAGACATACTACGATAATTTAGAGCAACTAAATAGTGTCCGGGTCCCTCGCTGGACCGGCCGACGAAGCACCGACCTCGACTTTGAACTGCACGGCTTCGCTGATGCCTCGAGCCGAGCTTACGCCGCCGTCGTTTACATTCGAGTCCTTCGCGCGCCCACGGACGTTCGAGTTTGTCTGCTCGCCGCGAAAACTAAGGTCGCCCCTTTAAAGACGCTCAGCATACCGCGTCTCGAGTTGAACGCGATTGTACTTCTGAGTCGATTGATTCAATGGGTTCAGACGACCCTAAATTCGCCCTCCGTACCAGTGTTTGGCTGGTCAGATTCCGCGGTCGCGCTGGCATGGTTGCGTAAGCACCCCGCGAGGTGGCAAACCTTCGTCGCCAATCGCGTCTCCGAGGTGCAACGTACACTGCCGGAAGCACGTTGGAATCATGTGTCTTCTAAAGACAACCCCGCTGACTGCGCCTCCCGCGGCCTGTCGGCGGAGGACCTGTCCTCTCATTCGCTGTGGTGGACAGGGCCGAGGTGGCTCGCCCGGCCGTCCGCGTCGTGGCCGACCGACGACCACTCTCTTTTTCTCGATCGGAACACCAATCAACGGGTCTCCGATGAGGCTCGCGTTTCAGTCGTCCTCCACGTTGAGAGTGAGGACGAGTGGGATCTAATTAACAAATTCTCAACATGGACTAAATTGATTAGAGTCACGACTTACGTGCGTCGCTTCGTCTCTGGAATAAAGCGCCGGAACCACGCGCGCGCGTCCCTCGTATTGACAGTTTCAGAACTTCGCGAGGCCGAAATATTTTGGTTCCGCTACGCGCAACGGTTGGCGTTTGCCCCGGAAATCAGAGCATTAAGCACAAATTCCTCTCTTTCGCGATCCACCCCTTTAAGGGCTTTGAATCCGTTCATAGATGAGAACGCCTTACTCCGTCTTGGCGGGCGGTTGCAAAACGCCGCACTCCGCTATGACGAGCAGCACCCGGTCATACTTCCCAGGGATCGAATCGCCGAGCTGTTGATTCAGCGGGCGCATAAAGCTACCTTGCACGGTGGCACGCAGCTAGTCATTCGTACGCTACGACAGCGATACTGGATAATCGGGTGTCGTAAGGCCGTGAAATCTCATATTCACGCGTGCGTTACGTGCGCGCGTCACGCCGCGCTGCCTTGCGCACAACTAATGGGAGAACTTCCCGCTTCCCGAATTAACCCGTCGCCGCCGTTCGCCCACACCGGAGTGGACTATGCCGGCCCCTTTGACACCCTTCCGTTAGTCGGGCGCGGGCAAAAGACTAGGAAAACTTACGTTGCCCTGTTTATTTGCCTCGCCACAAAAGCTGTGCACCTTGAGCTGGTCGAGGATTATTCCGCCGACGGTTTTCTCGCCGCGTTCCGCCGGTTCTCGAGTCGCCGCGGGTTGCCGCGTCGAATGTACAGTGATAACGGTACTAATTTTCGCGGCGCCGACCGCGAACTCCAAAGGCAATTTCACGCGTTGAAAGATCACCCTGAAATGCGAGATATTCTCACCGCCGACGGCGTCGATTGGGAATTCATCCCACCGGCCGCTCCGCATTTTGGCGGTTTGTGGGAAGCCGGAGTGAAAAGCTTCAAGTTTCACTTAAAGCGAGTCATCGGTGCTCGCACGATTTCTCGGGCAGAATTCGTGACGCTTCTGTGTCAGATAGAGGCCTGTTTGAACTCGCGTCCGATCGCCGCTCTCAGCGACGACCCTAGCGACATGTCCGCGCTTACGCCCGGACACTTCCTAATCGGGCGTCCAATAATCGCGGCTCCGGAGGAATCCGTACTCGAAATCCGTCCGGACCGCCTTTCCCGCTGGCAGCTAGTGAGCTCCATGCGGGAGCAATTCTGGCGCGCCTGGTCGCTTGACTATTTGTTGTCGCTTCAGACGAGAACCAAGTGGCGGGACGCCATGCCTAATTTAGAAGTTGGTGAACTCGTCCTCGTCAAAAATCCTTTGCTCCCTCCGAGCAAATGGGAACTCGCGAGAATTCAACAAATTCATCCAGGGTCCGACGGACTCGTCCGGGTAGTTACTATAAGCACCGCCCGTTCTCGCCTGAAGCGACCTATAACGCAACTGTGCAAGTTGCCTATAAATTGTAAAGAGTCGGCGTCCGAAAGCGAGTAATCCTTGCGCCTTCTCATTCGTTTTCTTTGTTTTGTTTTGCGCCGAGCTTTGTCTGCGTTGCGCGCCAAGTTTGTCTGTATACCGTGAACATTATTCAATATATTAAGTTACTTTTATAAGTATTGTAACACGTTAAAAGTGGATTTACATTTGTGGATTGATTTTGCGGTAATTGCGTCCCTTGGCTCGCGCTGCGACCAGGGGGAGAGTGTTCTCGTTAACGCCCTTTCCAGTTGTATTTCGTATCCGGCGTATACGAGGCGGGCGGTATGTTCAGAATTAGAGCGTTAATTCTTGTAATCATCGAGACCGCTTGAAGAAGCTTCTTCGCTTCGAATATTTGTTGATACGACGTCGAGGGCAAATGTTGTGTACCAATGTTGGCGAGAGTCTTGCGACAGAAAAAAGGGCCCTCGTCATAAGTAATGTGTCAGCCGCTGATTCGTCGATTGTCGCTGGGCCGAGGTTATCGGCGAATCGCGTTATCGCTCTGAAAATTAAACCCGCGAGCCGGTCGAACTCGCGAGAGAAGCGAAACAGTGCGAAGCTAGAGAGCGACGAGACGGTAACTACGTAGAGCGATCCGTGCGTACCCGGCACCTCAAAATTCAGAATTGTCGAAACGGAGGACACAAATCGAGTGCTCCTGCCGCCGGCAACAATGTGAATCATTTCAGACACCAATCTCTTATTGTAAGACGATTCAATGTCTAAAATTTGGACATCATCCCATTTAAAATTGTGGTCAAAGTTAACACGATGGTCAGTAATAACAGAAGGAGAACCTGTTCTTTTTCTGATATCAGACATATGTTCTTTTAGTCTAGTACCAAGTTTTCTTTTAGTCTGACCAACGTAGCTGGCCTCACAATCATCACAGGTAATCTTATAAATAACATTGTTATTGGAACAATGTTCTAATTTATCTTTACCTCTTTTAATAAAACTTTTTAAGGTGTTAGGAATTGAAAAGGCTAATTTACA